GAAAGAGTGAGTAGCAGGGTAGGGGGCATTCAGAGCAGGAGCAAGAAGATTCAGTCCAAATGCTTGGGTCCCTGCCTGTGCTGTGGATACCAGTCCGTGTCCTCATGAGAGCTCCTTTGTCCTGAGGCTGCCTTTGGTAGCTGTGGCCTCCTCCCCCAGCTGGACTCAGACTCAGAGGTAGGGGGAAACCAATGCCATCCCAGAAAGATGGGGAGGAGGAGGCAGCGTGCACCCCACGGTCTGGACCTTGGCACTTACCCGCGCCCTTCCTGGCCTCCCTGCTGCCTCTCTTCCTGGAGCCCAGGCATCCTGGCCTCCGTCCATCCCAGAGACACTGGTAGCCCTCCACCTTGACACACTGTCCTGGCCCAGCTTTCTATCCCCAGGGCTGACATCTCTTTGCTCCAGCAGCGGGATGGTCTTCGAGGGTGACGGTGGCACTGTGGTGGTTCCTTCCTCCGTCCCCTGGCCCAGGCCTCCCAGTCATCTCAGGCAGCCCTGGAGTCTCAGCCCAGTTGTGGGACCTGCTGCTGCCTGCCTCCCCGGGAGACAGCTTTCTTTGGCTGGTGCCTTTTGGGGACTGGGTTACTGATCCAATAGGCCAGATTTTCTCTCACTGTGGCTGAGGAGAGGGGCCTCAGGGTGGGGCTCATGAAGCTCTCTCAAGGGGCCATGGTAATCCTGGGTGGAAATCCCAGCAGATCTCGTTCTGTTTTCCATTTTCACAATTCCGCTAGTGGGTCATCTCAGAAGGTCCTGGCCAGAGAGAGGGAGTCCATAGACCAACTGATGAATGAGCGGGGCCTCTTGCTCACGGGTCTTGACTGCCCTCTTTGGGCCTCGCTATCCAAGAGCTCTGACCCTGACCTCCCGGTCCTCCTCGTGGAAGAATCCATGCCCCTCACCTTTGCTGCAGGCTGTCCCCAGGTGCTGCTTCCTCCTACGGTCTTCCTCTCTCTCTATCTCCCCACCCCCCGAAACTGTCTTCTCTTAGAACCCAGGTATGCAGGGACCCCCTCCACCTGGAGGAGGATGGGAGGCGGTAACTGGAAGGTTAGAACTGGACAGATCTTTCTGAACTGCTCTTTTATGGGGGCTTCGCTTTAGGCCCAGGTTCCTCATACTCCCCCTGTCTTTCCCACTGTTCTGCCAGGATGGTAGGGGTGACCGGGGATGGGATGTGTTGGGGGGTTGGAGGCCCCTTGCCCGCTCAATCCCACGCTAACAGGACACTCTCTCTCTCTCCAGGTGGCTTTGATTTTTGTGTCGTGTTTTATTTTCTCCTCCATCTGAATCGTTTTTCTCGTTGACCGTTTTTTTTTCTCTCCGCCTCCCGGAAGAAAAAAAAAAAGAAAAAAAGAAAAAGGAAAAAGCAGCCCTCCCAGCCTCATGCTTCTCCTCCTTTTCCTTTTTTTTTTCCGGCAAGAAGAAAAAAAAGAAACCAAAATCTCCTCTCCCCTTGCAGCGACCCCCCCCCTCCGCCCCATCCTTCCTCCAGTTCTGCCTGTCCCCTCTTACCCTCTCTGACTCCCCTTATCTCTCTTTCTCTCTCCCCTTTTCGTGCCCTCCCCACTCTATTTCGGCATCGGGCCCCTTTCCTCAGCTTCTGGGCTGGGGGCTCTCCCCCGATGTCTGTCACAAGTTAAAAAGGGTTTTTAAATTGTGGCAGCAAAAGCTTTTTTCTCCCTTCTCTCTGGCTGATTTTGATGACTCGTGTTTTCTTTGTTTCTTTCCCCTTTTCTTTCTTTTTCTTCTTTTTTTTTTTTCCCCGTTCTTTTCTTTCTCTCCTTCCCCTTTCCAAGGTCCGGCTCACCTGACGTTAAACAGCGAAGGTATGGTTTGAAATTTTGGTTTGGTTTGGATTGGATTGGATTGCCCCAACCCACACCTGGATTTTCTGTTCTTCTCCCCGTCCCTCCCTTCCCCTGCCCTCTTCCACCTGTCCTGCCTCTCC